TTTTTTTTGTAAATTTAAGTGTGTAACAATTTGATTTTTTCAACAAAAAAGAGTGAAACTTGTGTTTGTAAATGAACCATCCCATGTTTTGTAGCTTTCAGGATTTTATACTGATTGTGCTAAATATTTATTTATTATACTGGCTCTTTATATACAAACACTGACGAAGGTTGTCTAACTGGGAGTGGCTGCAGTGAATAAAAGCTGCACAGCAGGCTTAGGTATCCTTTTCCAAGATGACTGCCAAGCCCACAGTTCTACTGTTGTGGTAACTATTGTCTTTTATTTATTTAATAAACTTGAGTAAATAATTATTTTGATCACAAAATTTTTGCTTTCAGATTTCTATTACCTATTTGTAACAACAATAATGATGCTCGTGTCCTCTATAACTTTGTGGCGAATATCAATTGAGGTCAAACACATATTTTTAACTTTTACAAATGTTAACATTTGTAAGAAAAGTGGGAGACACATGGTGAGAGCTGAGCCGTGTTGTTGATGATGTTGATGAAACAGAGAAGGACTTACCTGAACTAAAGTTGTCTTTTCTGAGCAGTGCACACGCGGGACTTTGGTTGTGATTCTTTATGGTATGTTTAAAAAAACAATTGGTAATTTTGTCCAATATCTTCATATTGTTTCCCCCTTTTGGATTTCTTTCTGTCAAACCAAAATAAATGTAAAATAAGCTCATGGCAGCCAGCTAAAAAGCTTCTGCGTCACATTCTCGAGCATAACTGTGCGAAATATATCGTTATATCGGTCAAAGCAGCAAAAGCTATGATTCTTCGGCTGTGGTAACCAGCAACTTTTACTTGTTTGTTAAACAGTAGTGAGCAAGGGTTTTATTTAATTATGCCTTTATTTCAAATTTGTGTTTGCTGCTCGTGTAAAAACTGTTGGATACATCTCTTCTATGAAAATCCAGAGCTAGAGTTTTTTTCTTTACTTTTGTAAACACTCAGCGTGGTCGCATGCGAGATTGAACAAGAAAACAGAAGCTACACTTTGGGTCTTGTTGTTCATTTGACATTTCACAATATGCACAACAGAAATCATGTGTACAGGTGGCAAACAAAAAATGTAAAAAAGATTCAGATTTATTAAATTTAGATTTTACTAAAATGTTTTAAAATATATTTTATATCGACTTACTTGTGATATATACATGCATATTTTTAAAATACTGTGCAGAAAAGATTTAATAAAAACTGGCTCTAATATGAAAGCAAACCCATGTAAAACTAGTAAAACATGACCGTTTAGTTTAGTGCACCCTCTGTTATTTCTGTGTTCATAGTAAGAAGCGTCCACATCGTCAGTCAGCCTGCGACTTCTCCTCGCCACAGGTTTCCGCACCGGCTGCTGGCACTTGCAGGTGCGTCCAGTTTTATCTCTGCCGCAAACATGCGCTCCACCAGACCCAAAGTGCACACAGGTGTAATTAGGTGGAAGTATGGTGTAAACAAAAAAATCCTTACAGGATACCCACTGTCACCGAGCAATAATGTATTATGATTTCCTCTCTCAAACTGAGCAGTCAGTGATGAGTTTAAAAAAATCCGGGACCATGTATAGATCTTGGAAATCACTGGAAAACCAGTTCTTGCTATTTCCTGTTCCTCAGCATCTGGGGTGGAGGGACGTTTTATGGGAATATGGGTTCCGTTGTTGCAGCCTATGTAATTATTATTTTGGGACTTGATTTGGGATTTATTTTACTTTGTTGTTCTGTTGACCATTTGCAGTTCCCAACTTTAAGCTCAGTTGTCTTGATGGTTTACATTTTAGTGTTTGCTTTTTTTGTTTGTTTGTGTGTTTGTTTTTGTATGTGATTGTGTTTCTATTGGAGACGCAAAGCCACATAGATGCAAACAACAGAAAAGTAACTCTATTTGATTGGCTGAAAGTTTTTGAGTGATATAAATAGGCAGAAAAGCTTGTTATATTATTTCACTGTGGTCTTAGTGAACCAATAAAGTTTTCAAATATTTATCCACCACTGCTTTTAATGATGTAATTAAATTTTTTAGGTGACAGAAAATCAGAATGGCTCCATCTGTAAAGCGTCACAGGTAAGAAGCAGTTTTCTGATATTGAGGCTGTACACACCTGATTTGTCAGATTAAACTTCAGCTCTGTTTATGTTTCCAGCTGTAAGGTTTTTGTGTTTCGTCATGAGTATGGTGTTATTCGTCATGTAATTTTTCTGACCAGTGGATTTATTTATGTAGTGAGGATTAGAGATGTGTACTTATGGTACTTGATCTGCAGCACAAGTAAACTGGAGTTTATGATGTTTAAACAAAACAAAAGAAAGTAACAAATAATTATTGTTGATTGTAAATTATTATTATTATTCTTTTGCCTGTCCCATTTGGTTCTTTTGCCATCAGAATTATTGTCTGACAAAAAATACATATATCAATCACCTCGATCACCTGTTGAGAAAGAAAAAAGAGAAAACAAGCAAAAAAAAAAGAGCAATATAATAAACAACATCACGATGATATGGTGAATATAACAGTAAATACTAAATATTAAACATTATTGTGCAGCACTAAGATCGAACAGAACACAGTGTGCTTTGAGGTAGGAGCCAAAAAGGGTGTAGTTTGTGGGTGTGATCACCCGTGTGTACACCTGTGAGCATGGACGCGCTTGTTTTTAAAAGGTTCCTTCATGTAATGATCTGCTAGAGGGTGTGGGGGGGCCACAGCCCCGTCCTCCAGGGCATGAAGCAGGTATGGAGGAGATCAAAACTCCAGACATCCAGAGGCCCCCAGAACACAAGAGACCAAGGAAGACCAACAGAGGGGCAGCCGCGCCACTGTCCCAGAAAGAGCTGAGGAGAGTCCCAGATGAGGGGTCGCTCAGCAGCCGCGGAGCAGAAGCCAGGGGGGATTGCAATATCTCCCCCTCCTGCAGAGTGAGTTCCTGGAGAGGAGACCTCCTGCAAGATGTAACAGCCTCCCCCACCAGTTGATTGTTGATTGTAAATTAGCATGAGTGTGATATGAAGTCCAAGCATCATGGACATAACCTGTAATGAGCTGGATTAACTGAAAAGTGAAATTTCCGATTGAATCAAGGAATATGGAGCACATCTGTACACTGACCTAACCTCTTATTGAAGACTGCCTTTCACACAGAGGGAGAAGAGATGCACAGGAGTGAAATGAAACAAATACTTCTAGGAAATATACTTAAATAATTCAGAAACATTGACAGACAGTAACAACCACTGTTGTGACTGAAGATGAGGACCCGACTCTGACTGTAGACTGAACCCTTGAACCAAACACTCACAGGATGTATGGACTCAGGATTGTAGATGGTTCAGTGCAGAAATGGCAACTTATATCCCAAGCACAAAGCTTCTGAACATACAAAACAAATTACTGTGATGCTATGACTTCAGGAGGATAGACATAACAGTAACTATTTGGCATTAAGCTCCATACAGTGAGGCTGACTGACTGGGTTACAGGAGCACGAGAGAAAGGATGACAATGGATTGTAAAAGGAAAACTGTTCTTATAAACTTTATAACAATCATAATCTCTTCTGTATTTCAGGTTGAAACATAACCTTCCTGTTGTGTCTCATGTCCCACCTGTCAAAAGAGAAAAAAGTACAGTACAATCATCTCTGTCTCATGTAAAAGGAAGGCTGAAATAATTATTTTCCATCCTTAAAGAAACTGCATGTGTTGCCATATGTTGCAGGTGAGGATGACTCCCCAGCAGGTGTTTCACAGATTGTATCTGCAAATAAAGGTGAGCGTTTCCCCTTAAAGAAGCCGGCTGGTGCCACATTGAGGGAAGCAAGGCTTGAGGACACCGTTTACAAAGATAATTTTCTTGTGGTGAACGGTTGGGGGAAATTCTACCTTCCGAAGGTTGTAACCATGCAGGTTATTGGTGTGGTCGAGGGCATCTCGTTCCCATGTGAGCAGCTCGTTCTGATGACCTGTGAGGACCAACGGGTATATGCCTATGATGAAGAGGAGCTGCATCTGGTGGCTTCAAGCATGAAGCAGTTAGGTGACGAGGGAATGGAGTATCCAGGCTCCACGGTTTATTACAGGGGAGAGGCCTTTAAAGACATGGTGAGAAGTTAAATTTGTTTACTGGACTTGTTCGTTAATAAAGATGATCATCTGTAAACACTGTCACTAAATTATGTTATTGTCTGTTGTGTGTAGCCCAGGGAGAATCGGGCAGACACGAGCATGAGCGATTTGGGCAAGAGGTTGGACGAAGAGTATAAGAAGCTGGTGGCAGAAAGGAAATCCAGCATCCTGGAATATCTGAAACACAGCAGGAAACAGAAGTCTGAAAGTTTTTAAAAGTTGTGGTCAGAGTTATATTGTTGGATTGTCATTTATGCTTAGAAACATATACTCATTAATGATTAGAGTTATATAATTGATTGCATATTGATAGGATGTCTGATCCTTAGTAGTCTGCAAAGACTGTGTGCATTCCAGAGCACTCAAATTGTAAGGTGATTAATTGCAAATAATGTTACAAATTTTTTATGTTGTTTTCAAAGATAATGTGCCGCAGGTTTTCCATTTGTTTTACTTAATGTGTACCACTAGGTTCTGTTTTGGTGACTTCTGCTCTTTGTGCTAAGCTGACCTAGGTGAATGGAGGACTCCATATAATTCCGTTTTTGCATAAAAAATTAATACCCAACTGTAAAAGTTATATTTGTTGTTTTAACCTTTGTGAGGGTTTAATTTGCATTTTCTAAGGCAAATAACAGAAATCAGACAACAAGCGGCAGCAACTGGAAAGGTTCTGTATAAATAAAAAATTAAATCGGGTGGATGCACTTAATGGTGGTTTAGCTAAACTGAAAATTTGTTCATTTCAAGCATGGTTCTTTAATCATATTCAACCATTTACCTGAAAAATAAATCTTTGATTTGAAAACATATCTATTTCTTTGTCAGTGTCCCTGACTGTCATGTGATTTTGAGTATTGACACTGATTTTAGTGTAGGAAACAAAATATATATATATTTTTTTTCAGTCAGTTTGTGTCATACTAAAATTGTGAGCCTATTTATCATAGCGTGAAGTATTAAAGCTGACAACCACAATTTAAAATAGCTTCTGTTTGCCTCTCTCTCTCTCACACATACTAATGGACACCAGACAACAGCTGATTAACAGCAGGGACTGTTCATGTGTCAGATTTTCAAATTTAAGGCCCTCATTATTATAATGGACGACCAATATACATCACATGTTGTAAATTGTACAATATAAGCTATCAATGTGTTATAGGAGTTTATCAGCATACTGTAGTGGGTCAGGGTTGTTTGGGGTGGGACAGCTATGTTCTGTTGTTCCAGGCCGCAGGTTATGTTGCCATGGTTACAGGTGACACTGTCTCTCTGCGACTGTGTGTTTCTGGGTGGAGAGAGCGCCTTTTTGTTGTTGTTGTTGTGTTTCTGTTGAATGCTAATAAACGGCTGTGCTCCCGGGCTAACTCGCGGGAAGCAAGACCAAACGACACCTCTGTCTCCTCCTTGTCTGAGCCACAATACATTATTTCTAAGATGAAAGACTTTAATTACATTTTTTGAACTTTTTGCAGTTATCACTGCCGTTAGTGCTGTAACATCCCTTCAGCTTTTATAACCATTCTGTTTACCTCCAAACACCGATCAACAGACAATCCCACCACAATTTTTTCAGCAATTGCATCATCTAGTTTTTCATTGTTTCAGACTGCCATAGTGGGCAAATGCTGAAGTCAACTTATTTAAAAACTTTGTCACTGCATTATAATTTTTAATTGAAATGCAAATCTTCTGTTGTGCAAGATCAGAGCCCTTAAATGGTAATTTATTCAAGCTCTATTCACAAAACAAAAGTAATTCCTCTGCTTAGCAACTGGCACATTTGTGTGTGCATTCATTTGTTTATCCTGCCACATGTTGCACAAGAATGCACCCAGAGCAACTATGTAATGTGACGTGTCACGTCAAAGTATGTAGGCAGGAATAGTTTGACTGAAGTGGGAGAGCTACATTTCCAGTTTCATTTACTGTGCACTTGCAATGGTGAGTTTCTGCTTTTATGCAGTTTTCAATTTTATTTTATTTTTTAAAACAAATATCTTCAATATCTTTTTGGGTTATCACTGAAATGTTTAATTTGGTAATGTGTTGTTTTCTTCCGTATTGCTTTAGACTTCTATGGAAGACAGCAGGTATCTATTAACTGGTCTTAAAAGTTTATCAGAGCATTATACTTTTTTATTTAACTCTAAAAAAATTAACTGTTGTTCATCATTTTAAAAGAGAATGTGAAGACACTGAAGCATATAATTTTAAGAAAAACAGTTTGATAATGATTGAGGAAATGCTGAAACTGAAGACCACGATTCAACAAGACACTACAACATTGATTGATGAGGTACTTTATCTGATGGGGACATAATGAATGGTACTGTCAGCGTGTTTTGAACCCACTATTTTTATACAGCATGGAAAATGATATATTTTTGTGCAAACAGATGCTTCACAGCATCTTCTTTCTGGGAAATATCATGCAAACATCAGTTTCTCCTGAAGACATCATCCCTGATACGGAGATCTTTCAAAACTTAAGGCAAGACTATCGAAGGCCTTTTGAACTCTATTCCACTCATCTGCCCAGGCGGAGTCCGTTCTCCTGTGTGCTTGACATGGTAAGAAAATATGACTGCTACTTTCATTCAGTAATGATTCATTTTCACTCAAACTTCATGTATAAATTAATATCAAATCCAAAGAAAAACTAAAGCACCTTCTGTACATTATGGTTCAGTGCCAAACAGAAGGTGATATGGGCAGAAATCTGTGCCATTAGAAACTGAATTTGAATAAGTTAAATTTGAATTTGAATTGCTCAGATTGAATCTGAATTGTAACTTGAATAAATGCTTTTAAAAACTGAAT